GAAGGAATGGACCGCTTGGTCCTTTAGCCGCAACTCCCCATTTCCTCAGGTAAGATATTGGCCGAAATCATTATTGTCTGTCTCGTCATAATTCGTTGGTCTTAAAACCATGAATGCTGGTGCTCGATGAGGTTGACGATGCCAGTTAATTGACGATACGGCCGCTTCCTCAGGTGATGTATTTCGTGCTCATGTTCGGAGGTTATTCCATCTTTATTTGGGAAGCTTTTCCCTTTATGGGCAAAGGCGAAGTTCTATCTGGATACCACAGGATCGCATCGTTCTTCGCGATAACATGGAATCTTTATGCATACCTTCGGTTATGGGAATCGGATCCGGGGTTTGTAAGGGAGGAAACATTAGTGGAGACCGAACCCGTGTTCGAAGGTGCGCGTTCAAGTGAGACGGCCCCCAACAAGACAATGAGAATCACACGATCAAAGGCCCGAGCGTTGGCCGCTCTGGCCAAGGAACGGGCGGCGACAGAGGCCGCGATGGAGGCAGAACGGTCTTTGGACCCGTTAAGTGCGACACGTCGAATCGGAGGCCGAAAGGGAAGTAAATCGAAGGAAGAAGATGACCTTCAAATCTGTGCAGACAGGTACTGCTACACTTGTGAGGGGGTTGTACGCGGACATGATCATCACTGCGTGTGGTTGAAGAATTGCATCGGCTCCAACAACTGGCAACCGTTCGTGCTATTCCTGGCCACACATGCTGCTATGTGCCTGTACGGGATCTATCTTACACTTTCAATTCTTCGATTCGATGCTATTTACCGAGGGATGAATCGACGTAAGAAAGCACCATACCCCCTCTCTTGGCATCCACCCACCTTGGCATCTACCCACTTTGGCTACTAGCTATCTGTACGATTGTCCAAAAAAAAAACAATGTTCGTATACACCAACTCGCATTCGCCCACGCAGGGCGTCTCTCACTGATATGTTCACATCTCTAAATTCTTCTGGCAGAGATCTTTCTAGTCCGAGGTCGAAGATACGGATGGTCATTGAAGATCGCAGTGCTCGTACGTCATGTTTCCACACCATTATCCAACGTTCACATCATCCAGCGTTCACACTTCACATGCTTTTTGTTGTCAGTATTACATGAGCGCGGAGCCCTTATTGTCCCTGATACTTGTGGCTTGTGTGGTGATGGGTCTTCTGTTGACAGGTTTCGTGATTTTCCATCTTTATCTTGTAAGCAAAAATCTTGACACCACATCTCTCTTGCAGCATCTGTGGCAGAAACAAACAACGAGTCAATATCTAAAACCCCGGCGCTTGAAGTCTACTGAACACCGAGCAGTGGCCCATCGCGACCGCCAGACGGGAACCAGACACGAGTCAGCTGGGTTGGCTTAATTGGACTGGCTCAGCTGGGTAGATTGTATAGCGCATTTCCGTTATAGTAATCTATGACCGCTTGGGGATAATTGTAACGGACTTTTTTCAATGGCTCCACGAAAACGGTTCCGTCCAAGAGATACTTGGCCATCACCTCTCCCAGCTCTGAGAGCTTAAGTTGCACAATTTCACATTTCGGTTCCGGACTGTGTCTCTGTGTGCCTTTGCGTGTGCCCATCAAGTTTTGCACCAACTGCGACAACGACGACTGCCTCCGGGGCTCTTCCTCAGAGTCCAGTGCACTGGTCTCGGAGGCGGCTTGCCGCGGTTCGTCGTGAACCAAGGAAGGGGCTTGTCGCTCTCCGAGAAGCTCTACAGATGGACTAGCCTCCTTTGCCAAGGCCGGGGATAAAGTCGAACTAATTGGGTCCAGTGTTGACTCGGATAGCGTGTTGTCACCCACCAACTCGCTCCAAGCGGAAACAGTGGGGGGCTCTTGGTCAAGCGGCTGCTGCCCAATCGGGCCCTCGTGGAGGCCCCGGTTGTCTTCCACCAGCGGGTCGCGAACCTTGGCGGACCTCTGGTCCGGTGACGCGCACAGCCCAGAGTGCTCGTTCTCTTGCTGAGGGGGCTCTTGCTGAGGTGGCTCTCTGGCTCGTTCTTCCCACGCGGTTGCAGCCGAGATACTGTCGCTCACGTCCGCTGTGTTCTCGAACCCTTCCGCGAGGCGCTTTTGCTTGTCAAAACCCTCACTCAGCGTGTCAGCGCACCCAGCACCCGACGAGGCTACGTCCGCATCCCCAGAACCCGACGAGGCCGGCCGAGGCGTGCCTTCCTCGGGCGGAAACGGAGGCGCAGGATCCTGGGGTCTGTTAACACACTTTTCCAAACCACCCGGGGACGTCTCAGGGATACTCGTTAGACGTATCACAACGCGCTCCAGCGACTCACTTGGAGTCCCGCCGCTCTCCACTGCGATCACTTCGGCGGCCATGTCGCCGTTTGCGACCACTTCGTCGTCTCCTATGTCCACTACGACCTTGTCAGGACGGATCGTCTCGGCGCGGACTGCGTCAGTCCTTTGCCAGGAACCGTCGAGGTACGAATTGTTGTCGGGATACGAACTGTCGAGGTTCGACTCAGTGGACCACGCCTCGTCCATGGCGGGCGGGAGAGAGGTGGCTTGCCGTGTTCTGCTAGAGGCAGTTCCGACCTTGCTCTTACTTGCCGCTCGCCTGCCGCCCGTTTTCGGTGCAGCTTTTTTCGGGGCGGCCCTTTCCGGGGCAGCCTTCGGTGCAGGCTTCGGGGCAGCTTTGGGGGCAGCTTCGGGGGCAGCCCGGGTTTCGAACCGCGGTGCCTCCGGAGGTGAGAAGCAGATGCGGGGTCGTATGGTGGTCCGCGGGTCGACGTAGGGTCGCGACTGGCGTTCTCTATTTCGGATGTGGAGCAGTTGTTGAATGAGCGCGGCATTGAACGCGTTGGGGGCAACGTCTTCGTGACCGAGACGCGTCCCCGGCCGCGATTTGAGCAGTTGATTTTTCGCCAGCTGCTTCGCAATTTGCTCCGTCATTGCCTCTATCGAGTCGCTCATGTGGGTCGATGCAGGGCGTAATGAACCTGCGCCTGCATATCGGGGTCCGACGTCTGACCGGGAGTGCCAAGAGATATCGTCGTGCCACGGCCGCTCCTGGCCGGCCACCCTCAGGGATGGTGGCACTTGACCTCGGCCTTGCACTGCAGAACGTCGAGCGGGCAGGTTTTGTCCCGTTTGGGCCAAACGTCTGGGACTCAAGCCAGAGGGAGGGGTGGCCCATCTCGGTGTCCCACTAGCGTGTGAGAGCGGCGACCAATCTTCATCACCGGGACTTCCCACGTCCGTACCGGCCTCGGTCTCCATTTCCGTTTCGGCAGTGTCGCACTGCTCGGCGTCAGAGAGGTACAACAGCCTCCTCTTTTTGTTCGCCGGGGTCGCGTCGAACGCCGCCTTTTCGAACACTGGCAGGGCAGAGTAGCCGCTCGCACGCAGGCTTGCTTCGGGTCGTCTGAGACGGTCTTGAGCGACAGCGGTCGGCGTCGCCCGACTACCGTCAAGCATTTCTTGGCGGTAGTCTTGGTCATAGAGGTCTCTAGTGACGGGGATCCGAATCTCAACTCCGTCGTCCACGCTTGAGCAGTCGTAGGCAGCTCTTCGACCTTCCCAGGTCCGGTCGTGTCGCCATGCCGGGACGCGAGATGCGTGCAACTCCGGCTCGTGGTCAGAAACGGGGCGCTCAGCACCCAGCTGTTCCGAACCCGGACCCTCCGAACCGGACAACGAATCCCGGCCTCGCCGCGCAGGGAGATCCAACAGAACTTCATCAGTATGGAGTCCTCGCTCCATCATGTCTTCCCACGCTCGCTTCGAGTTCGCCATCTGCTGCAATATGTCCGCCGAGGGATCCAGAATGTGCTTAAGCGGCTCCCAGGTTGCTGCGGTCATCGGCCACCCTTCCCATTTGATTCGGAAATAGTTGGTGTCTTCAACACGCTTGTACCCGCATACAAAGTCAATAACATAAATCTTGGTCCGGGCCGCCATGATTAAAATTACTCCTGCGCACGGGCGGGCTATCATCCGTGCACACGTGTGTGCTATCATCCGTGACCACGTGCGTACTATCATCCGTGCTCACGGATGTACCCCCCCCTCCCCCTCTCCTTGATTTCCCGTCTAGCAAAGTCTTGGCAGTAGAAGTATGTTGAAAAATATGTGTGGTGCTAGACATCGCGAGTGTCACCTGCAACGTGACATTTCGGCGAGTTTCTCTGGCCATGTCTGTGTCTCCGAATTAGGCCTAGAAGTCGCTCTTACCTCTGAAGTGTGCGACGGTGACATGTCCGTCGTCGTCGGCTCGAAGGACGCTCTTTTTGAGGAGCGTCATTCCGTTGGGTGGTTCAACAGTGCCAGCTTTGGCATGGGAGGCGGGGACTTCCTTGGTCTCTTCCGAAATGGGGACGAGTTTGCCATCGCGGAGTACCTCAACTTTGCGAGTGACGCTGATCATGGGCTCCTGAGTGGCCTGTGCGTCGGGCGCAGGCGCTGCGACGAGCATGGGTGCCTTGGCCTGAAGGGCGAGTGGGGTCTTGCTGGTCTTGCTCTTGATCCAGTCGCCGGTCTTCTTGAAAGCGGACTTGATGTTCTGACCAGTGCTCTTGGCGGTGGACTTTAGCGCATCCTTAGCCGTCTTAGCGAATTCCTTGGACTCCTCAGCAAAGATCTCCGCCTGGTCGGCGGCTTTCTCTCCGGCTGACTGCATTCCGTGCATCAGGTTCGTTGCACCGTGCTCCGTCGCTTTGGCCAGCGACTTGGCACCGTGCTTCATGTCCGTCGCGATACTTGTGCGGCTCGCCGCCGCCACGCCCAGTCCCGAGGCCGCCGACGGTTCCGTCCGGACCACGCGTGCGGGTCCAGTCGGAATGATCTCCTTGGTCACTGCCACCGGCTTGGCTTGGGCTGCCACTGGCTGTTTAGCCTGTACTGCTACTGGCTGCTTGGCCTGGACGTTGCTGGAGATCTTGGCGTCACGTTCAGCCTGGCGCATTTTGGCGAGCTGTTCCAAGGTGATCCTTCTGTCGGGTGCCGAGCCAACAGCTAAGGTCTTCTTGTCGGCGACTGAGGGAGTCTGCTGAGCTACGGCGGGTGAGGGGGCGGCGGGAGAGGCGGAAGCGGAGGACGCCATGGGCGTCTTGACGGCTACCGCCGAGTTCACACCGGCTCCACCCCAGCCGCGCGACGAGGGGATCTCGGACAGGCCTGAGGGCGCGGCGGAAGAGGCCGCAGGCGACTTGGCTGAGGCCGAAACGGAGGAGACCGAGCTGGCGGAGACCGAGCTGGCCGAGACCGAGCTGGCGGAGGCGCTGCTGGCAGCAGGTGACTTGGTGGCCACACTGAGCAAGGCGGGCGCGGCGGCCATGCCGACGGCGTCAGCGTGCCCGGAGCTCTTCTTCGCCTGGCGTTTGGCGCCAGCCTGCTGGGGGGGCTTGGCCTGAGCGCTCAACTGCTTCTTGTCGACCTGGATCTGAGCCTGGACGGGGGAGGGGGCGGCCTGGACGACATTGTCGCGTGCCGTGACGGAGAGGCCGGCGAAGGCTTTGTTGCGGGCGTGTTTGTCGTCGAAGGCAGCACTAGCATTGGCGACCTGCGGGCTCTTGAGAGCGGGTTTGTTCTTGAGTGAGGGCATGCGTTTGGGTTTGCCAAGGGGTTTCGTAGCGGCGGCTTGATAGCTGATTACGCCTTTGACGGCGTCAGGTGCGGCACCGGGTGTGGGTGTATAGTGGAAGTGTTTGGCGGCCTTGGCGGCTTCTTTACCGATATCGGCGAGGCCAAGGAACCCGGCGTTCGATGCTTGGTTTGCGGTTTTGGCGCCGGCCATGGTAGGTTGTTTTGCCTTGTCTTCGAAGGCGGCTAATTCGCGACGTTGATTGTTTTCCACCTTCATCGAGTTCATGCGCTTAGGCTTTCCCATTGGCTTCTTGGACATGGCCTGGTAGGTAATCACGCCTTTCACAGCGTCAGGTGCCATGGCCGGTGTAGGGCAATAGTGGAAGTGCTTCGCCTTACGCGCCGCGGCCTTACCGACATCACCCAGACCCACGTATCCTGCGTGCAACGCCTGCATCTCAGACTTGGCCTGTGCGCAATTGATCGATTTCGCATCTTCAGTCTTTTTGGCCGCATCCAACAACGCGTTCTTCGTCGCTTTACTCGACGCCTTCGCAGAACGCTTCTCCTCCATTTCATCCGCACGACCGCGAACCGCGGCCGCCGCCGATTGGATCTTGTGCTTCGCAGACACTGCCGCGTTCTTCACTCCCGCAGCAAAAGAACGACCCGCGTCCTTCATGTCTTGGGCAGCCGCAGACCCCTCCATACCTGCCACTCTGTTCAGCTTGGCCGAAGCCGCTCTCGCTGCTAAAGAAACAAGGATAATCCCACCCAGCACCTAGTAAACGGACGCAGGACGTAGTAAACGGACCTGGCATCACCAACCAGGGACCTGGCATCACCAACCAGGGACCTGGGACCACAAATCATGGACCCACCTTGCCCCTGCATCCGCTTCGACAGCTCTTCATCGAAGACCGCCCAGACCCATCCCGAAGCTCTTGCCTTCGCGTGCCAGATGCCCCTTAGTAACCCTGCGCCCTTTGAGCAACTCATTCGACCACCGCTTACCACTGTCAACTTGGTTGATCAAAGTCATCTTATTTCGAAAGCTGTACCGAAATGCACGTATGACACATTTTCATGATCGGCATGACGGCGGGAAACCGACATTGCGAAAAGCACCGACAATATCAATGCCGACCATATCAATGCGCCAGCGGACAAAACGTTTGTCAGATTACTGCAGCCATCCACCTCATTGATACCGTCGACGTCATCAAACCCGCGCACTTACGTCCAAGCATTTTTCTGCTCGCCCCACGCCGGCTCGTGCCCTTCTCCTAGCCTCCCATCTGGCACAGTCTCCCAGCGGGACAGCCTCCTAGTGGGCACCACCCCCCAGCGGTACCGCTCCTGACATCGTCCGTAAGATATCCCCT